CAAGCGAATCCTATGCTACATTAAATCAAATACTAGTCAAGGTATTTTCTTCTCCACAGTCAATGACTTAGTTCTTTGCAGTTACCGTGATTCTAACTGGGCTGCATGCCCTCTTACATGGTGGTCCACAATTGGGTATGTGACAATGCTTGGTTTTTCACTCCTTTCTTGGAAAACAAAGAAGCAGACAACCATTTCTTGCTCGTCTGCTAAGGCAGAATATCGAGCCACGGCTGTAGCCACAAGTGAGCTATTGTAGCTCCAACGAGTTCTTCATGATCTTGACTTACCTCTTGATTGGCCTATGCAATTACTTTGTGACAGTCAGGCTGCCATTTACATTGCCACTAATCCCGTCTTCTATAAATGTACGAACTACATCAATATTGATAGCCACTTCGCACGTGAACATGTACAAAACAAAGAAATTGAACTTCATAATTTTGGTACCAAGTCTTAACTAGCTAATCTCCTCTCAAAAGCTTTGGGTGCTGATCAGTTTTCATTGTTATTGGGCAAATTGGGCATCACACATGCTCCAACTTGAGGAGGTGTTATAAATAAAGACAGTTGTAACAAACTCTAGTGGCGTGGCCAAAATTGTCCAAGTTGCATCGATAGTTATCCAACTTGTGTCGATGTCTATATATATCTCTATTGTACAGAAATGATTTAATACGAAAATCTTCATTCTGATTTTTTATTTTTAGCCCTCCCCTATTTTACCGTCCACCAGCAATGGTTGCACCGTCGTTACACACTCCTTCCCCCTCTCTATTTGTACTCTACCTCCCTTTTTCCTAATTCATTTTGAAAATTTAAAGGAGAATTGATGAAGGGTATTTTGGCAGCACCCCATTCACTAGTGACTCGGATGTTGACTGATGGTGCACGATTTGACCACTTTCTAGTCGTCTGCCTATTTCCTAGTGGCTGAGGACTAGGAAGTTGAGTTGTAAGATTTCTGCTGGATGAAAATTTAGATGCCGAGCTGGCTTGGCGGAGCTAGGCGGTTGATCGAGTGCCAAGCTAGGTTGATTGTTGAGCTATGTAGCTTTTTAGAGAGACCTGCAAGGAATCGGTGTCAGTGGACGCAGGGTGGCTAAATCGGCGAGGTCACTCCAATGCTTAAGTTAGTACTGCATTATGGTTACGAGCTGAATACTTGAATGCTAGGATGCTAGTGAGCAAATAATCGCGTGTACCTTCCCCTTTGGGCTTTGGGGTTGGTGCCTTTATATAGGTATTGTTCAGTGTGGGCCTCGCGCACCGCATCCAAGATTTCTCGGAGGTCATGCCTAACTGGTCCAAAATCCTCGAAGGTAACCACCATGCACGTTGACCACCCTTTGGAACATTCGGTACGTGGGCCAACTTCCGAGAAACATGGGAGTGTCGGTATATGCATGCCGAATTTGTCAGCGAGCACGTCTCGCAGGTCGTCACCTGAACCTCAGTCAAGCTGGCATACCCTCGAGGGAGGTCACTCCTCGCGTCGAGGTCACTTTGGCCGGTGACGAGGTGCTATAGGCTGACCTTAGACGAGGTCGCCAGGTCGGGGTAAAGACGAGCCGCAATCTAGGACTCCAAATCATCACTTAGGTGGTGTCTAGGTGTCATCTAGCTGTTCTGAGATGCCATGTGTCACAATATCATTGGAGGGCTAAATTCGCCCTCATCAATTGCCCCCCACTCCCGAGCTGAAAGTAGCTTGGCAAAGGGAGTAGATCGCTCCTTTTGGCCCGAAATGACTGATTCTGTAAGCTCGTAGTCATAAGCGTCGGTCCAATTTGCTAATTAGGTCAGAAGAGTCCAAGTGTTTATAGCCTTACGTAGGACCTCGCCGTCTTGATTATCGGGGCACGAGAGCGAATTCATCCGCTCGATGAGAGGTGGAGTAGGTAACCCGAGGGCATCTACCTTATTAGGGATGCTACCATCAAGGGGTTCTATAGTCCAACTAAATACCTCAAGAGCGAAGCTCATCATGCCATCCTCAAGAAGGGGTTTTGTGTGGTTGTTTTATCAGGTCTTTCCACCTAGGTAGACTTTAATGCAGTGTTTCTCGAGCTGGTTCACAAAAGAGTAGCCAGCGAGTTCGATGCGGAGCTAAGAACCAAGGTGGAGGTCGACTATGAAGAGATTAGCCAAGTTTGTGTCCATCATGATGTTGAAAGCGAACTAGTCTTTCCTTTGTTTTTCTTTCTTGTTCCGAGTTAATATTCCTTCCGTCGTTTCTTTTTCTCTCTTTCGTTTTCTCCCAAAAAAAATTCTAAGTGTGGATTCACCCAAGGTGCCGAACTGGTGGGCTGGGCATAGTTAGGAATAATCCGAGGTCACTGTAAGCCGAGGGGTGCGAACACTGTAGGGAATGTATCCGATATGTTTGCACACCGATGAACGTGAACTGCTTTTTTATTTCACCCATGCCAGAGAGGCGACTGGGGTTTAGGTTATCCTTGCCGAAGCGACTGGGGTTTAGGTTGCCCATGCCGAAGCGACTGGGTCTTGTGTGGTGCCGAGTTCTTCTGTTAGCTCGCCACTTTAACCCTTAGGCCTAGGGAGCAACTTGTAGTTCACTTTCCTTATTCTTGACTTTGCCCATGTCGAAGAGGCGACTTGGTCTATTGTTGCCCATGCCGAAGCGATTGGGTCTCAGGTCGTGCCAAGGGCTTTATCAGCTCGACACCTTAGCCCTTAGGTTTTGGGAGCGATTTCGTAGTCCACTCTCCTTAATATTATTTGGCCGATGTGCGGCCTAACCTTTTTGCCTACGCGGGTGGACATTCTGTAGTAACTTTTAATATGGCTGCTTCTCCATCATCCCATGAGATTATCTTCCTAGGTGAGTGCTTAAGAGACCACAACGTACATGTTCTACCCCCCCCCCCCCCCCTTATGAGGGCATAGTGTTGTTGTGAGTGTGAGTCAGTAGTTTGGGGCCACGACTGCACTACATCAGCCTTGTAATGGCGCCGGTCGTCCACTCCTATGAGAAGCCACAAGGAGCTCGACCTGTGGGGGCAACTCTACTAACTGTAGGTCACCAACTCGCTCGGGAGCTTTGAGGGGCTCGACCCACAAGGGCATTCGCATAGTTCGTAGGCCGCTAACTCCCATGGGAGCCGCAAAGGATTCAATCTGTAGGGGAGACCTTGCGAAGAGGACTGATAAGGCTTACCCGGGCTGAAATAAAGTCGGCAGAGCCACTTAGTCTGTTGGCCACCAACTTCCCGCGGGAACCATGACTGGCTTGACCTGCGGGGACAACCTTACTCCAAGGTGCCTATTGCCAAGCTACTGGTTGTTAAGGTCATTTTGTTGCTGCCTATTCTGCATCGACATGAATACGTTGAACTGCTCCCATGCTCACATCTAGAAATTCATGCTTCATCTTATGGAACTGCCGTGCTTCGATCTTGGCGGGAACTGCTGATGGCTCTAGCACGGGGAGAGGGGCGTTCACATGCGGTAGTGGGGTTTTTATCTGAGGCACTGGGGATGCCAAGTTCGGCTTGAGCTTGTTTGATTGTCACAGGGGAATTCTTCAGGTTCATCACAGATGTTTTTGCCCCCCAGTAATCGGTATTCGTTCTGGGTGTTGATGTTGCTCAAAAGTGCCTTTGAGTTCATAAAAAATGGAAATTAGAAAGTGAAAACTTTAATTTCTAAAAGGTGAGATCTTAGCTTTCTAGAAGATAAGGACTTAGCTTTTTAGAGGTGAGAGCTTAACTTCTTGTAGCGTTTCCCATAGACAGTGCCAATTGATGAGGGGTTTTTTGGCAGCACCCCACTCACTAGTGACTTGGATGTTGACTGATGGTGCACAATTTGACTACTCTCTGGTTGTCTGGCTATTTCCTAGTGGCTGATGACTCAGAAGTCAAGCTGTAGGATTTCTGTTGGATGAAAACTTGGATGCTAAGCTGGCTTGGCAGAGTTAGGCGGTCCATCGGGTGCTGAGCTAGGTTGATTGCCGAGCTGTGTAGCTTTTCAGAGAGACCTGCAAGGAATCGGTGTTAGAGCGGCAAGGTCGCTCCGATGCTTAAGTTAGTACTGTATTATGGTTGCAAGCTGAATACTTGAATGCTAGGATGCTAGTGAACAAACAATCGCGGGTACCTTCCCCCTTGGGTCTTTGGGGTTGGTGCCTTTATGTAGGCATTGTTCGGTGTAGGCTTTACGCACCGCATCTGAGATTTTTAGGAAATCATGCCTAATCGGTCTAAAATCCTTGAAGGTAACCACCATGCACGTTGACCACCCTCTGGAACATTCAAGCCGAATTTGTCGGCGAGCATGTATCGTAGGTCGCCACCTAGACCTCAGTCAGGCCGGCATGCCCTTAAGGGAGGTTGCTCCTCACGTCAAAGTCACTTTGGCCAGTGACGAAGTGCAAAAGGCTGACCCTGGACGAAGTGCTACAAGGCAACCTAAGTTGTGGTTGAGGTTGCCAGGTTGGTGGTAAAGATAGGTTGCCAGGTCGGGGTAAAGACGAACCACGATCTAGAACTCCAAATCATCACTTAAGTGGTGTTTAGGTGTCATCTAATTGTTCTAAGATGCCATGTGTCAAAATGTCATTGGAGGGTCAAATCCGCATCTGCCCTCATCAAGAATAATGGATAAAATAGTCTCTTGTGTTTTCTGATCAACAACATTAATGGCAAGGAGGTTTTAGACAATCGTCAAAATACTTCGGGATATTCTAAGATATATGTAAACAGTAAAGATAAAGTTAGTCAATCCGTCAATTAGCTAAATCACAAGGATAGTTTAAGAATTTTTCCATTTATTAATTTGGCCTAGTCAATTAGCTAAGTTATAAGAGTAGTTTAAGAAATTTGCCGTTATTAATTTGGCTTGTGATCTTTTTCAAACCGAATCAAATTCAACTACAAACACCCCTAATTACAGCAGCCGGCACTCAGAATAGGGTAATAGAATTATAGAACTACATCCACCTAACATGGAACAAAAAATGAGGTGGCTCGAGGATGATACATGGAACAAAAAGTGATTTCATTTCAGTTTTTCTTAGCACTGGAACCACAGAAAATGTCCATCTTAACATTAACATGGCAGTTTCAGACTATTCGGTTTAGATGTTGCATCTCTCGACACTTCCAGTATCAAACGTAATACAAAGCTGAGAAGACATTGAGTCGGCTCCTCCCACCCATACTTTTTTGCTTAAACAAAAAGAAGAATAAATAAAAAAGCAAATAAAGAAATAAAGAAAAAGAATATTAAAATGCATCCACTAGAGAAGTTGCCTGTGGGAAGGTTGTTGAATATTTACAAAAATCCAAAATCAGGGTAACTTGGGCTTAACTAGCAGAAGAGTCATGACTAGGCACTATATCCGCAGTTATTGCAGCAAACGGCTTGATGGATGATCGAAGCGACTCTGGCCCCTCTGTAGCAATTCTCTTGCACAATGCATCACAATTACTTAATACCTCGGTCAGCCTTCCTTTCAGCTCCCCAACCTCCACTTGCAATGAGTGAACTGCATACCATTTCCCATATAACGCAATAACTATTAGATGCATTTTTTTATTGCTAAAACTTCTAGAAAAGGAAATTCGTGAAGTAAATGGTACAGGAAACAAAACAAGGAATGCCTGATAATATGGGTGTTTAAGCACATTTTGGGGCAGATATCCCTTGAACAGAAATAAGAAACCTCGCAAGTGTTTTCTCCAAGTGTTGATTCATTAGTAAAAAGGTTACTTAACTGATGGATCAGACCTAATATCCTGTTGTTACTGCTGCTACCACCCCTGGTACATTAGCCAAAAAAAAAGGGATCTCCCTATTTGATCATCTTACCCTTTGAAACAAAATATCTTGGCATGCAAATAGTCTCACAGACTTTTGGACTTGGGATTGTCTGTTAGAGAATAAGACCGAGTTTGAAAGGAGTACAAATACAAATATGTAGAGCGCAAAACCTTATATTTTGTATGTATTTACGCTGTACATATTTGCATTTGTACTGCTTCCAAACTGAGCCTAAATACCTATTCAGGGACCTAACCTAAAGGCTAACAGCTTAAGCTGATGAGGTCCCTGAATAGGTATTTATTCTATAACATTGTCAGATGAAATTACATGTTTTCCACCATTTTTATTAGTTATACATTGAATATATAACACTTGATTAAATAATAAAATAATATATGTTATTTTTGTTCAGAATATTTTTCATTAGTTGGAACTTTCTTTTTTTTTTTTTTTTTTTCTAAACCTGAAAGAAAGTCTGAAATTTTCGCTCATCAAAAAACTAGGTTAGAAGACCCCAACTTCGGTCGCGCCATCATCTTGCAGTACAGCAGATTCATACAACTGGGGTATTGCATTTTCCCTTCCAACAAAACAAATGATTGAGCCAACACATGATACAAAATCCAGCAATTAGTCATTTATACACGGATACGACAGCTAAGCGATGCCTAGGCAAGACAATCCATGCCTAGGTGCAATAAATGAATAAATAAATGTATTATTTGTTCAATGTATGTAAACAACTTAAACTTGATTTTCAGAAATAATGACAAGGTCTTCAGTAACATACATCCCTTTTTCAAAGAAAAAGAGATGCACACATAAAGAAAAAAAGTACTATTTTTAACTCTACGTGCCCTCCTATTGACAAAAAAGAAAGGAGAGGCTACAAAATCATATCAATATATAGAGGGGGAATAATACAACCTATACTACCTGCCTAGTTGATTGCCTAGAAAATAGTCCACTTAACCCTTAGACTTTTGAGCAGTTCAAGGGTGTTTTTGTCAATTGGCATATATTCCAACTGATGGTTTCCTGTAAAATCAAGTTTTCCCATGGCCTATGAGCTATCCAAGAGGTTGTAAATTGATTGAATAATTTATGCTGAAGACAGCCAGACACACCAGGGTGTGGGAATTGTATTTAGTATGCATGAATTACTTTAAGTGATGCCCCTTGCCCTGTGCAAAAGTTACCCATAAAAGATATAAAAAGAAAAGCAAGTGAGCTACCTCCAGCGAGATGATAAGCAGTTGTCCTCATAGTTGATACTGAGTAATTGAAACGCTGAAGAAGTTTTACTGCCAAAGCATCTGCCACTTCTATTCTGTTCTCTATCTCCTCCTGCAAAAATTAGTAGTAGGTTGCAGTATGTCTGATGTCTCCAAGTTCTTACGAAGAGTGGTACAAAGTACAAACTCAACTTTTCTACAGCTATGCAGTTCATTTTTTGTCCTAGGCAGAGGATTACAGGCTTTGCATGCTCAATTGTTAGAATGAGTTGGGAAAAAGAAATCTCATTTGTTCTATCAAAAAATTATCCAGAAGAAATGCACAAAAATCTAAAATTGCTTCGCCACATAGTAGGCACATGACCAGATAATCATTATATGTCAATAGAAACCAATTCCCGTGATGGTTGCGTTCTCTCCACATCAAAATCAAAGGATCATATATTTTCTACTCTAATAAAAAAAAATAGTTGAAATATATTGCAAGCCTGAACCGCATGGTTCACTCGAGAGCAATCAGAATACAAACCATTTAAGTTGCAATATTGGGGAGTATGCATAAGCCTAGATGAAAGTGTTCTAGAATACAGTATAAATTAATAACTCTTAACATTAAATTTGAATAGTGCAGGGAGGTACTTGTTTCTGGCTGATCTTTTTGGCTTTCTCTTCCTGCCAATCACGGTACATCGAAAAGAGCTCCAACAGCACCTTGGGGTTTAGAGTACCTGTAGCAATGAGGACTAAATTACAAAATGTGACCTGTATTTTTTTTATCAGCAAACTGACCTGAAATTTTTTTGCTCAAATAGATTTTGGAAGCAAAGGAGCAATGTGGAAGACTAGAAGTAAATAATAAAGAGAATACAGCACAAATTTAAAAATCACATGCTCAAATCCCAAATAAATGGGATAATAATCCCATGAACAACGAATTACTGAGCTTTTGATCAAGACAAACAGCCCTAATAGAAGACATATGTCATGTATAACCATAAAGGGTGAACCTGTGAGATCTTTGGGGCAAAGTGGATATCTTTCCATAAATGCATGCATCGGCAAACCTTTGAGCTAGATTGAATATGATAATTGAAAAATGAGATAGGCTATTAAAATTTAGAGTATAACCATTTAATTTCAGCAGTACCATGCCGACAATTCTAAAAGTGATATCTTTTGCTTCAAAGCAAAAGCTACTCCAGATCAGTGTTTTAAAAACTGACCTGGGAAAGGAACTGTTTTTCTGTCAGGGTGGTGGATCAGTGATTCAACCATCCATGCCAAACAGATCAACCAGAGACATCATTAAATAAAAATATATAGAAATAAATAAAATATATAAAAAACTGGGTGTATGTTGCATATTAAATATTCATCATATTAAACAAAAATAACTGTGATAAATGAGAATTATTGGATCAAAATACCAAAAAAAAAAGGAAAAGAGAATAATGGTTCAGTGGTTTTTTTTTTAATTTTTTGAAAGAAGGGTCAAATGGTTCAGTGGTTCAACTGGCCAGGTCACAAGGTCATGAACAAGTCAACACTATTTCTGCAACTGAACAATTTAGGGTGGAAAGGACCTGAAAATGTGACTGGATGGTGCGTGTGAATGGTCTTGGCCATCTGGTTCAACTGCAGGTTAAAAACAATGCTCTAGATCATCATGGCACGCGGATCAAAGAATGTATTCAAACCCCACTCAACACTTTCAAAGCTGCAGTAGGCACTGATACACTCAGACAGAACTCAGAAGGTGCTTATCAAAATCTTAAAAACAGAAAAAAAAAAGAACTCAGAAGGTGGTTGGACTGTCTGATTATTTGGATTTTTGAGTGGACTTTAGTTCAATTTATGATAGCCCTCTACTATTCTTTTTTTCTTTTTTTTTTAACTTAAAAGTTTCTGGTAAAATACAGTTTATCTAGAACAAACAGCAATGTCTTTAGGGCTGAAAATTTTTCCATGAAGATGAGGATGAGGAATCTAGGGACTCCTAACTTTTGCAGCCCAAGCTAGCTTACCGTGTGAAAGGACTCGGAAAGAAAAACTACATGGATGAGTGGGAAAACTAGAAAGGATAGGACAAAAAATGAACTAACTTGAAGGAACCTAGGAGTAGCACTGAGGGGTGATAAAATGAGGGAAATAGACTAAGGCAGAGAAGACCATTGCAGTTTTTTTTTGGTGTTTGTGCTCTTTAACTCTGTATACAAATGTTTAGAGCAGCCATGTCCCCTTTGATGGATAGTTCTAGTGACTACAATCCAGAACCATAACATTGTTGACTATACATGGACAATTTCTGCCCACAGAGGATGCTACCGTATCTACCATTTTTTCATTTTCGTTTTCAGTTATTAATTAAACAGAGCAGCTCATACACTATCACAATGCACAATGTACCGACTTCCGACCTTGTCCATGCTTGCATTTCCCCCAAATAAAAATTAGGATGGAGAACTCTATTTCAAAGTGAAGAAAACTTCTAAAATTTGTATTCTGTGCGTCAATTAAGAAGAAATTAAAAGAAAAACCCTGTATTTCTTGCTAAGGTTAAGAGCATAAGATTTTATGATGAACGCCTGGAACTGGAAGTCCGATGTAAATGCACAAGCAAGTACTTATCTTCAGATCAAATAAACAATAATACCAAGCAAACCCATCTCAGAAGTCAGAAGTCTATTTTTGTGAAAATTCAATTATGTGGTAAAATAAATAAATAAATAATTCCAGGAGGATTAGCATTCAATGATTTCAAGAGAAAAACAACAGAGGCGCAAGAGTGTAAATCGTAGAGTTCCTAAGCTAAAACAAACCAACCTGGAACCGAAGCCGATGACGGCTTTCTCACGAGAATATCAGTCAAGCTGCTCTCCTCCGGCGGAGACGTCAGTATCGGAGTTGACTGCCATCAAAACAACAGAAATTAGACCTCACGCAGCAACCAAACTATTAAAACCCTAAAACTGGGAGGAAAAAAAAAGAAAAAAAAGGAAACCATGGAAACAAATGCAAAACTAAATTAGAACTCACTAGTTGGAGAGATTTAATACGGTCTAAAAGGGGATCAACGTCCTCTACTTTCTCGGAGACGGTAGTGATCTCATCGGCAGGTTCCTTTGTACATTGGCAGAAGGAAAAAAAACAAGGGAAAGAGAGATTAGTAGAACTGCATAGAAATTAAAAAGAAGAAGAAGAAGAAGAAGAAGAAGAAGAAATCACAGCCTCACAGGGACACAAGGAGGAGTACCTGCGAAAGAGTGGATTCCGAGGAACCCATTGCGGAGGCAATTGGATTGTACGGACTGATACTGAAAGTGCTATTACTGATAATATGGAAGAGAAGGGTTGGAAGGAAGATGCAGTAGAAGAACGTTTACTGTGAGTCGTCAGCTTGAAGGGGGTTGGGAATTTGGGATTTTGAGGAAACCGGAAACGGCTTTTGCTAGCTTCAACCGCGCATTACTCTACAAATAAAAAGGTTTATCGTGTATACGGATACAGTAGACCGCTCTGTGCAACCTGGAGTAAGCTAAGGCCTACACCGTTTTGGTGAGACCGGATCTGTTACTCACAAAGGGCGTTTCACACCGACCTCACAAATACATCCCATTATGCATTGGGAACATCTTTCGTATTTATACGTTATTATTTACGGGATATATTTCAAATGCATGGTGAGATGTGCATGTGAGGTCGGTGTGAAGCGCCCAGAGCAGATCCCAAGGATAAGTTGCTTTCATTTTGCAAATCACTCAAAAAATGATCCCAAGTGAAGAGGGTGATTTGCCCTTTCAAGCCACGTGGTGATCTTACACCATTTAATGACAACTCGGTGTCATGTGGGGGCAACTCAGTCAGATCAATCTAAGTCGACCAGACCGAATTACATCTCGACTGGCATGTCGCTCCACACCAGAATGGAGCACATCACCTCGAGAGAACAAGCCAATGATTTCAGATGCCGGCTCGACTTCTCCACTTGGGCAGCCAATGACTTGAATAGACAGTCAACCTTCAAGGTATTGACCTACATGGCGAGTTGTCCTTATCCGGTTAGCATACTTATCAGTTCCAAAATAGATGGCAACTCCACTTGGCAGGGTTGACTCCGATTCCGCATACTTTGGAGGGACTAGATGAGGATCATCACCAATACCGGTAGAATGTGCCCCAAAGACAATAGGCCGATAAGGCCTATCGCTCTTAGATATCTCGAGCATGTCTCTTGGGCCTCGAGGCCTATTAAAAGGCACCTCCAAGCCTTCACAAGGTATGTGCAATTAAGTGCAACTAACTCTCTTGCTTTCTTAATCTCCCTTCGCTCTCTTGCTCACTAAGCTCGACTATCTTAAGCATTGGAGTGCCTAGCCTGGGTCCAAACCCCTGGGTACTTTGATCTCTTGCTTCTTGCATATCGAACTATCGACCTCAGTACTCACCCATTTGAGTTGTTCTCCAATAGGGAAGTTGGGCGATTCGACCTCTATCATTGGCACCATCTGTGGGAATACTAAACAAAAAGTTAGTTCAACCTTTCACTGCTTTAATTTTGATTTCAATATGTCTTCACCAAAGAACAACCAGAACGAAGGAACCTCCATTAGGGGCAAACATAGGCAATCAAAGCCTCAGTGGTTCCTACCAGTGTGGATCATTGGCAATCCTAGGAGCAGCATTTCGCCGCTCTTGGGCCAATGTAGCCCTAGGTGCCATTGTAGACACAATCGTTGCCCTAGAATCAGAATCCAAACCAGAACATCAATCGATCGATCACCCCACCAAAGGATAGACATAAACCTCTCGACGTCTCGGAGAATCCCACAAGGACCTAAACTTTTGAAGCACGAGACACCGCTTATGTCCTTGATGAGGAGATTAGCAGGGCAACCACCTCGAATAGGTCGGACAACATGGCTTCGAAGTCGGGGTCCAGGCGGAACAGGCGCAAGAGGTGCTCCAGGTGTAAGGCCTATCAAGAGCTGGCTTGGTCCTAAGGTGGAGGATCGTCGGACGAGCCTAGCTACAGACTAGGAAGCCAAATGGTCAAACACCTCAGGTGCACCTTCATGCACCCAGGCTTCACCCCTATCAGTCGAGATCCTTGCTGAGCCCTAGCCCAAGGACTCCAAGGCCTCAAACCTGGAGATTTGCAATGGAATGACTGACCCAGTTAACCACGTTGAAAGCTTCCAATTAAGCTATGATGCACCTACATGAAGCAAACAAGGCAAGTTTATGCCTCGCCTTCCCGACCACATTCCGCTAGGATGCTTAGATGTGGTACTCAGCACTGGCTTTGGGCTCCATCAAAACCTAGGACCAATTCATCAACTTGTTCACGATCCACTTCACCACTAGCCGACATTGCCCGAAGAGTCCCTACAAATCTAGAACCTTAACCCTACCGTACAAATGACCACGGCGATCCACAACATCCGGGACCCCTACTTGAGAAGGTCGCTTGTGAAGAACCCCCCACAGGACATGGAAAAGTTCCTCAAGCAAGCTTAGAAATACATGAATGTCAAGGAGATGCTTCATGTGCATGAAGAGCTCGCCGAAGCTGGCAAGAGGAAAGAACACAACGATGAACGAGACAAGAGTAGTAGCAAGTGTAGTTGGAGAGACAACAGGTGGCCAATCGTTCTAGGTCATCATCCAAATGCTCTAGAACTCCCCCTGTGAAGCACAAGAACTATACAACACTAAACATGAGGAGGGGAGATCTTAATAAAGATCAAGTCAGCCGACTACCACTTCCATAAAGTGAAGGAGCACAACATGGAGAAATATTGGAACCTGAAGGACGAGATTGAGGAGCTCATCTTATGAGAATACTTGAAAAGTTTATCAAGGAGGGACGAGCTATTGAGCCATCGAGGAACCCACAAATAGACCAACCCCAACAAAATGAACAACCATTCGCTAGGGTGATCCACACGATCACCAGTGGGTCCATAGTAGCGGGTTGCAGCTCATTCGTTGGAAAGGTGTTGGTGCACGACCTAAGCAACGATGAGGAAAGAACCCCCAAGAGGCTGAGGACAGAGGAGGTGATCTACTTCACCGAAGATGACATGACAGGGGTTAACTATCCCCATGATGACACCCATCATCTACAACTACGAGGTGAAGTGCATCTTGGTGGACAATGGCAACTCGGTAGACATCTTGTTCCTGGAGGCCTTCGAGAAGATGCAACTGTAGAGGAAGGACCTCATCCCTACCAACGTGCCACTAGTCAGTTTCAGTGAGGACGTCGTCCGACCTCTAGAAAGAATCAACTTGTTGATTACAACAGAGACCGCACCGAACAAGATTTTGTTCAAACACAACTTCTTAGTTGTTGACACCCAATCACCATACAAGGCCATTCTTGGCTGCCCCATCTTGCACGCACTCCGAACTATGGTATCCACATACCACTTGGTTATGAAATTCCCTACTGAGCATGGAGTTGAAGTGGTGCATGGGGACCAATTGGAGTCCCAGAAATGTTACATGGTGGTCAACCTAGAACTACTCCCAGAGCTTGGCGAGAATAGAGCTCGCCTAGTAAAAGATGTAGTCTTGGTGTTGGTTTCAGATACTAAGCCCGAGAAGATAGTCTAGATCGGGTCACGACTCAAAGAACCTCAACTCTTCAAACTAGCAAGTTTTTTACATTCAAATGTTGATGTGTTTGTTTGGTCGCTTGCTGGCATGCCTGGCATAGACCCCTCTATTATTACCCATAGAGTTAACATAGATCCCTAGAGAGGCAGAGGACCATTGACAAAGAGGTTGGGAAGCTCCTTAGTGTCGACTTCATTAGAAAAGTAGAGTATCCGAGCTGGATAGTGAACATGATGTTCATCAAAAAGGCAAACGAGAAGTGGCGTATGTGCGTTGACTATACCAACCTGAACTAAGTCTGCCCAAAGGATACCTTCCCACTTCGAAGAATAAATAAACTGGTAGATGCCACCTCAAGGTTCGAGCTATATATTGAGCTTCATGGACACCTACTCTAGTTACAACTAGATCCAGATGGATCCAGCGGACCAAGAGAGAACAACTTTTGTAACTAAACTAGGCTGCATTGTTAAAAGATCATGCCTTTTTGCCTAAGAATGCCAAGGCAACCTACAAACGTCTTGTAAACAAAATATTTTCAAATTTAATTAGAAATAAAGTAGAAGTTTACGTAGATGATATATTTTCAAAGAGTAAAAGTTCTAGTTCTCTTATCGTTGATTTAACCAACATATTTATCGTTCTAAGAAAATATAACTTGAAATTCAACCCGAACAAGTGTGTCTTTAGTGTCATATCGGATAAGTTCCTTAGTTACATAGTCACTCGACATGGTATCGAAGCCAACCCCAAAAATATTAAGGCAATCTTAGATATGCAGCCTCTGAGGTCCATTAAAGAAGTCCAAAGGTTAACAGGCCGGATCACCGCCCTCAACCATTTCGTGTCAAGGTCGGCAGGGTAGTGCTTTCCATTTTTCCAAGCCACAAAAAAGGCTAAAGACTTCAAGTGAACCGAGGAGTGTCAACTTGCTTTCGATGAGGTTAAGCAATACCTCAGCTTGGCATGGTTATTGATAAGGCCAAAGCATGGGGACAAACTTCAATTATACCTCTCCGTGAGCAACAAGGTAGTCAGCTCGGTATTGGTCTAGAATGTAGATAAAGTGTAGTGACCTGTTTACTACATGAGAAAGGTCTTACATGTAGCCAAGACCAAAGACCTGGATATAGAGAAGCCCGCGTTCGCTCTTATCATATCATCTTGAAAGTTGTAACCTTACTTCCAAGCCTACACTATCGTCGTCATCACCGATCTACCCCTCTGCCAAGTCCTACAAAAGCCAGAGGTCTCAGAAAGATTAATGAAGTGGGCCATTGAGTTCAATGAGTACGACATCTTATTCGAACTTCACCCAATGATCAAAGCACAAGTCTTGGCAGACTTCGTAGCAGAATACACAGTCAACTCATTGACCTCAGCACTAGATGAGCTTGCATCCAGTCTGGAGGCATCCACTAGTGCAGAACCATCTCCAAACTGGGATGAAGAATCTTGGATCCTCTATGTGGACCACTCATTCAAGTAAAGAGGCATTGGAGTCAAGTTGATTCTGTTAGGGCTCGACGAGGTGAAGTTGGAGTATGCCCTACAGTTCAGAGTTTAGATTTCAGGCATCTAACAACAAAGATAAGTATGAGGCCCTCATTATCAGCCTATCCCTTACAAAGGAGGTCGGTGCAAGGAATGTAAAGGCATGCAGTGACTCCCAGCTCGTGGTGAATCAGGTAAACTAACATTACGAAGCTCGGGAGCCAATGATGATTAGGCATTTGGAAAAGGTGTGTGAATTGATCAGATAGTTTGATTCATTCTTCGTCCACCAAATACCAAGGTCCGAGAATGCCTAGGCTGACGTGCGGGGATGGTCTACATAAAAGGCCTATCGCGCCCTAGCATAGAGAAGATGATAGAAGAGGAGGTTGCTCCCGTGCAGGTTGCATAATCGAGTTGGATGGATCCACTCTTCAA